GGGGGGGGGGGGGGGGGGGGGTCCGGACCCCCTCAACCCCCCCTCTGGATCCGCCCCTGCCACCTACCAGCATCTTCTGGAGTTGTTCGGCTGACTGGTTGGCCACACTGATTCCGTTGATCTCTCTGATTTCGTCACCCACGTGCAGCGTTGCTGAAACATACGAACATTCCTCTTATTTAAGCGCCAGCAAGAATAAGAAGAAGCGTGCACACACACACACAGAAGCACACGCACGCGCGCATGCACACACAGAAGCACGCATGCACGCACGCACGCACACACGCAGTAACGCAAGCCCAGCCTCCCGCCCTCCCAACCGCCCGCACGCATGGCGGCAACCACACATGCACGCACGCACGCACGCACGCACGCGTGGTAATAGTGCAATCGCACACATTATCTCATCTCTCATCATGCCTCGAATTCGGTCATGAGGCCAAACCTCATATTATGACCGAGAGCGCAGCGGACTCGCGTTACAAAACGACATCGTGTCACTATATGCTAATTGAACCCATGAGCTAAATGCGCCATTCATTCGCGAACGCTTTTATGAACTGATGAGTAAATGACTAACGCGCGCATACGCACGCACGCACGTATACACATGCACGCACGTCCAGACACGCACGCACGCACGTACAGACACGCACGCACGCACGTACAGACACGCACGCACGCACGCACACACATGCACGCACATATACTCTATCGAACAAAGGCACTGTATGCTTATTAAGTTAGCTAATAGTTGTAAATGTGCTTTGATGTTCTTTGGGCGAATCATGCTCAGTATAACCGTAACCTGTGAACAATGACAAATGATTGATAATAAATCCATCAGAATCCAACAGAACCTACAGTGGTACCGATTGTAAAACTAGAACGCACGTACGACTCACGTATAATTCGATCCCCTCGATCTTCGTGATTGTGGCAATGACAGCACATAACACCCTTCTGAACAATTATTGGTCTACGTATGACGAGCATGACCACTAACTAATACGTGGTAGTTCAAGTCACTGTCAATATATTGATATTCACAATATTGATTTTGGTGTTCGATTTCGACGAAAGCTGAAGATTCTCAACGAAAGAGCTCGATAACAACTGACACCTGACACACTCATGTGTAGCTAGGAAACCCAGCTGCCCCGGAGGGACAGGACACACGGCCCACCTGTCTTATTTCAGCACAAATAGTAACATCCCAAAGGCTTCACGCAAGCCGAACCTGGGCTTCTAGAAGAAGAAAAAACCCACCGGAAAGTGCGTAACAGGCAAGTTGCCATAGAAACGACTTCACGAGGCGTATACAATAAACGAACAAATTTCCTTTAGCACGGACCATGATTCTGTAGCTGAATTTGAGGAAATTTGATTACGTGTAAATGGGTGGAGTGCCTGGCGGTAATGATGCGTTGTTTGGCTGGCCGGCTGCAGCGACTGCTTTGCTTACAGGACAGCTTGGCAACTAACGCTGACATTAACCGTGAAATTTGTTTACATTCTGAAGATGCTTAAAGACCGAGGACCCATACAGCTCGCATCCGTAACGCACGGGAGGGAGACCACACGCTCAGTATATTTATTTGCAAGAGTTTAAACCGACGCTGTATACTCGCACGCCACATGCGGCTTTTAAACGATCAATTACTTCCGTATTTCGTCTGCGCGATCCTTCATTTACGAGAGGCAAGATTATAGCAAACATGTCGACATTCGAACAGTGCATGCCGACGGTGTAGTGGACGTGGTTTGACGGCGGTGGACATACTACCACACAAAAAAACAACCACCAAATGGTTTTGCGGGACGAATTTGATAACGGCCAACGCATGTCTTGATTTATGGCTTAATTGACTCGACATGAAATTTACGAATTTATGATGTGGGTAAAATCGATGATGTAACTTTCGGGTATTTTGTCTACAGTTAGCCGGCAATAATCAACATAAGGGCGAAGGTGACGCCACTATGCTACGCTCAAAATGAAGCGAGACAGAGCAGAGTACGCTTAATTAGCACCACCCATGGGCGGATCCAGGATTTTTGAAAAGGGGGTGTCCGGGAAGAGATATAGGGCACTTTTTCCTGCTTACTTTTTCTGGTGCTTTAAATTTGATTTTTGGATTTTTTTTTTAAATTGGTGCATTCTGAGAGCATCTGAGCAGTAATTTTGATGTCTAGAATGCAAAATTTTATCAGATCCGGTCGCCCGGACCCCTCTTTGCCCATTTCTAGGTTTTTATAACGAATTTACATATATATAAGTAAATCTTTATCAGAAAAACTAGC